GATAGCCGGGCACCATCAGCCTTCTTCACCACATAAGAATTTAGAAAAGACACTTTTAGCTCACGTGTTGCCCATCGTACAACTTTTGTCACTAGATCCAGTCATGTTCTGAAGTACCTTTTTCTCTTCCCATACAAGATCCAGTTGAACGTATTACATTCAGTTGTCACATCTCTTTGGTCTCCTTTAGTCTGGGACAGTCCACTGCCTTTATAGATGTCTTTATGTATATATATATATATTTTTTTAATTTTTTGTTTACATTTTATTGGGGGCGCATACAACTAAGCCTGGTCTTTTTTATGACTGAGTTTTGCTCCAATTTTTCTCCCATTCTATCCAGTACTCCTGTGATCCCTTTCAGAGCAATTGGTAGTAGTAGCCAGGTACCATCTAATTCTGGTTCAAGGATCATGGAGCCAGGTTAATCTCAGGGTCAGCAGTTTAAAACCACTAGTCACTCTAAGGGAGAATGAATGATGAGACATTCTACTCTTATGAAGAGTTAGTCTCTGAAACACTAGGACAGTTCTACTCTGTCCCATAGCATCGCTATGAGGTGGAATCAACTCGATGGCAGTGAGTTTGGGTTTTCCTTTGGGCTAATTGTTTCCGGGCATTTTTTGTTTACTTCATTCTACTTTGCTCTGGACAAGGAGAGACCCATACTTGTATCTTCAATGGCCATCAAGTTAAAAATAATAATACTAAAATTCTAGAAAGTATCTTTATATAGAATTACTAAGCAAACTATCCAGTAAAAGATTTACAGCTTATTCAGAATTACATTGTGTAATAATCAGATTGACAATTAAACCTTTAGGTTAATATCATTTTTACCCCTAAGTATCCTAAGTTTACCCCTGAGTTTCCTAAAAAGATATATTTACAGAAAATATTTTAAATGTTAATTTGATTAAAATTTTGTCTTACCCTCTACTACTTTCATAACTAAGATACTTCTAGGTATACTGTACATAGTGTAGATTCCTTGATGAGTCCTGGAGGATAAAGATGAAAGTCTGGCTCCTGTGTTACAGAACATTAGATTTTACTACTAAACTGAGATATACAGTAGAGTATGAGTAGAATGCTGAGAACAAATTTATATAATAAGCAAACATTTTTTAAAAAATCATTTTAAAAATTATTTATATAATAGGCAAACAATTTTTTTAAAATCATAACTTTTATCATAATCCATACATATATCCATTGTGTCAGGCACATTTGTACATATGTTGCCATCATCGTTTTCAAAGCAGTTTCTTTCTGCTAGAGCCCTTAATATCAGTTCCTCATTTTTTTCCCCTCCCATCCCCACCCTCCTTCCCTCATGAACCCTTGATAATTTATAAATTATTATGGTAGGCAAACATTTAATGACAAATGGCTATAAGAAAATATATGTTCTTGGGGAAATACGTAAGGATCTTATCTCTGTTCAGTTTGAAACACTACTGTATTTTTGCTTATTCTATAAAACTTTTACTTCTCTGCTTTTGCTGTATTTTGTTATTTGAGTTTTGCTCTCTATGCTTAACTCTTAGTCTGTCTCACGGCATATTTTTATTGTCTTTTCTTGGCATGATTTGAATTCATTATTTAACCCAAGAGGAATAACAGAAGAATCCCTTTGCCATTGCTGCCCAACTCTTCTGGTAATCTAGTTTGAGGGAATCTGGATTCCTCCTCAAAAAAACTATAGTAGTAGCAGCCCAAAATTACTAGATTAATTTTGAAGTTATAGTTATATAATTAATAGATGTCACACATTCACATTTTTAAACCAGAAGACTTAAAAATAGAAAATTGGATGGCATTTTCAAAGTTCTGTTCCTTATTAAAAGAAAATTTATTGCAAATAAAATTATCCATGTGTGCTGGTAAGTGAAAATAAATGGTTTTTAGATTTAAAAAACATGTATGTCATATTTTCCATTACTGTTTTATAGAAAAGTTACCGTACAAAAATTATGGGAAATATTAAACATGAAGGTTACCTATAATCTCAATGTCACAATACAACTATTTTTATTTTGAATATTTCCATTTAGCAATCCGCTTTTTTGTTTAAAATGTAATCTTGTTTCATATACCTGTATAGCCCTATAATTATGGTAATTCAGAAATGCAAATAGTAAAACCTCCTTATTCACAAATATTATAAATTAATTTTTAAGTAAAATTTACAATGCATAGTTCTTATGTAAGTTACTTTATACCATACATGTAATTCTCATGGTAATTCTGTGAAGTATGTTCTGTTATTATTCCTAGTTGATAAATGAAGAATAAGAAGGAAGGAATGGTTAAGCTACTTCCTTAAATCATAGAACTAAAAAGTGATAGAATGGGATTTAAGGATATAGTCTGGCTGTGGATTGTTGTTTTTCTCAGTGATACTTACTGTAAAGGCTAGCTTTTTATTTTTTCTTGAGTACAAATTAAGCAATCTACTCAAAATTTCTTGTAACTACAATAATATGGTAAGGCAAAATCTGCATTTTCATCTTCTTGCAAATCTCCATTTTATACCCAACCACAAATCAGTTCATACAGCTGCCAGAAGTAATGCTAATCAAAAAAGGATGTATTGCAGGAATTAGTGTACATTATACTGCATCAGTTAACTTTCAAAAACAGCTGAAAAGTTGCTATAGCAGCAAGAAGGTGGATTCATAGTCTCAAAAAAATAAGCTTAAAATGGGTACAGTTGTCAAAAATAACTATTTTATAGCTCTGAAAATTAAACAGAAGAATACAACTATAGAGTACTTTGGGGAACACTTAAACAAATAGAGACATATATAACCATGTTAGTGGATTGAAAGATTCATTATTAGAATAGCAATTTCAAAACATTGATCTTTAGATTCATGGAAATATCCATTAAAATTTTGTAGGCTATTTTATTGAAATTGTATAAGCCTATCATTAAATTATGTAGGAAAACAAAGGGCCAATAATAGCCAAAAACCTTTGGGAGAGAAAAGCAAAGCAGGAGAATTTACACTGTGATTTTTGAACACACTATAAGTATATAATAAAAGAATATTTTATTATATACTTATAGAGCAAACTAAAGAGTCTGAAAATAAGTCCTTGGATTTAGGATCAATTGAATTCCAAAAAAAAGCATCAAAGTAATTCAAATGTTGCTAGAATAATGAGATCTCTATGTGTAAACCATCTTTCAAAAATGAAGGGAAGTAATCCAGACTATAGAGCATTCTACAGGATGCTCAACCTCCTTTATTCAATAATTGTAAGAAAATGAACGTCTGGAGGGGAACTGTTTAAAATTTTTCTAATATTCTGAGATCACTGGAAATTTGAATATTCTATTTGATCATATAAGGAAACTTGTTAAATTTATTCCAGTGTAATGATGATTTTGTTATATTTAAAAGCCCTTCATTTTTTAAAGCTAAAGTTATAAATGTGTGTAGATGAATTATTTGATGTCTGATACTTGCTTCAGAATACTAAAAAAGAAAGAGTGGAGAATAGTACAAATGAAACAAGGTTGATAGTGAGATGATCATTGTTGAAGCAGGACAGTGGGCTCTTGTGATTTCACTTATATTAACACTGTTTTTCTGTATGTTTGAAATTCTTAACAATCAAAATATGTTTTAATCATTTTATTAGGGGCTCATACAACTCTTACCACACTCCATACATACATCAATTGTGTAAAGCACATTTGTACATTCATTGCCCTCATCATTCTCAAAACATTTGCTCTCCACTTAAGCC